CGGCTGCGGCGGCCTTGTCGGCCTTTGTGGTGGCGGTGGGCTTGGCCTTTGCGGCGCGGGTGGCCGTGGTGGTGGACGAGGCCGTCTTCTTGGTCGCCGCGGCCGTCGTGGTGGCAGCGGCCGAGGCCTTGCCGGCTGCAGCCTTTCTTGCTGGCGCCATCGTGGGTGTCGGAGCGAAGCTCTGTATGTGTAGCTTGATGGCGGGTGGTGCTTTGTCGGGAGCGGTCCAGGGCAATGCGATCAGGCTGGGCTCCAGACGAGGTGTGGAGAGGATGGTGAGGGAGAGGGGGCAGGGTCGGGGTCGGGGTCAGGCAGGGTCAAGGAGCAGCCAAGGGGGCTGGGAGCTGGCGAAAAAAAGTAGTGCTCTGGCGAGAAATTCCAAAGGGGCCAGCCACCCAGCCTGCCTGCTGGGCCTCTTGGCCCACTCCCAAAAAATTCAACGTATGCTCAACCCGGGGGCGCGAGTCTGCAGCAACCTCGGGACTCGGTCGCATGGCCGAAATCCGATCACGCCCACTCGGCCGCAAGACGGAGGGGCGCAGCAGGCCGGGCCACCGGGTTTTTCTGGCGGCTTCCACTGCGCGAGAGTGCGAGAGTGCGAGAGTGGAGCAGCAGGCGGAGGAAGCGAGGGACAGCGAGGGGCAGCGAAGGGTGGCCTGAGCCACGCAGCCAAGGCGGAAGAACGCAAAGGCCACGCCACGGCCACAAAAGCCACCGCCAGGCCAGGCCAACCAGGAGGCGTTGGTCAACGTTCCACCTCTCTTTACCCGCCACCACGACCACCGACAGCAACGACGACGACGACGACGCTTCACCGTCCGACGTCCATAGACTCCACACAAACGCAACCGGGACCACACACTGCTAGCAACGCCAGCAGACCAAGACCTCCAGCGGACTACCCAGACCTACCCTTCCCACTCACATCAACCACCCACGATGGCAGCATCCGGTACCGTCGCGCCCGAGATCCTCTGGGCCCAGCGCTCCTCGGACGATGAGCCCGAGAAGGTGAGAGAGACACTCCACGCCGCACAGCTGCTGCTGCTGCTGCGTCGTTGTCCTGCTATGGCCGTGCCCGTCCACAAATTACTGACCACGCACCTGCCCTGCTCTCCTCGTCGCCCCCGCAGAACGTCATCATGCTCACGATCAACGTGCCCAACCTCCCCGCCCCGCCGGCGACCAAGTTCGACCTCACCTCGACCGGCTTTGAGTTCCACGCCAAGGTCGGCGATGCGTCCAAGGGCATCGAGGCAAAGGAGTACGCCTTTAAGCTCGACTTCTTTGGCGAGATTGACGTAGAGGTGGGTAGCACCGTGGTGCAGTCTGGTCCGACCCCAGCCCCACGTCGAAGGCTCTTTCTCTGTTCCTGTGGTTCGGAGGCTGACATGCACGACATCGTTTCCGGTCCTCCCGGCCTGCCAACCACCTCCCCCCCCCCACCCCCCCCCCAGAATTCCAAGCAGAGCCTGACGTCCAAGTCGCTCTACGCGGTGCTGCGCAAGAAGGAGGCCAAGCTCGAGTACTGGCCGCGCCTGACAAAGGACAAGGTGCGGCTGCACAATGTCAAGACCGACTTTGACAAGTGGGTCGACGAGGACGAGCAGGACGGCGACGCAGAGGACCTGGCCGGCATGGGCGGCATGGGCGGCATGCCCGGCGGCCTCGACCCGAGCATGATGGGCATGGGCGGTGCCGGCGGCGGAGGAATGGGCGGCATGCCCGGCGGAATGGACCTCCAGTCGATGCTCGCCTCGATGGGCGGCGGCGCCGGCGGCATGCCCGACTTTGGCGCCGGCAGCGACAGCGACGACGAGGGCGACGACGTTGAGGGCGCCGACAACGACGCCCAGTCGGCCCCGCTCGACCAGGCCGGCGACGCAGCCGCAAAGGCAAAGGACGTCGAGAGCGTCGACTGAGGTCGCCGTCGCGTGACCCTCGAGGCTTCCCCCGCCGTCTCTCCGCTTCGTCCTTGACCACGTCTCTAGCGGCGAATGAGAACCAAAAAACCCAATGCTTCCTATCGACCGCCTAAACCACCGACCGACCGACCGACCGACCGAAGTGCCTGCCTCTCTGCCTGTGCGCTCACAAGAAGTCGCCAGACCGCCAAGCGAAGCCCCGTCAGATACAATCGTCTCGACGTAAAGTCAAAGGGTCTAAGATTCAGCATGCGGAGAAGTGCCAAAAGACCAGACGAGGATCCAGGTTCGACAGACAAGGGCAGGCGCACGGCTGGGGAGAGGAGCACGGCCTGCACGTGGGACCGTGCAAGAAAGGCCGTCGCACCTTGTTGCGCCCGCCCTTGACTGGCCATTCATGCGATAATGGTCAGCTCCTTTGTCCTGTTGGCGGCATAGGCGTCCTTCCACGTATCCCAGATGCTGACCGGCGTAATACAAGGTGAGGCGAGGCAGGGCAGGGCAGGGCAAGGGCAACGACGGCAGAGTCAGCGAGCGGGGCTCATGGTATACGCCCTATCGACACAGGCCAGGCCGGAGCGCGACTCACTTCATCAGCTCGTCAATGTACTGCTTCTGCACCTCCTCGACCTCTTCTTTTGTGGGGTCCGGGTTCTTTTTGACGTGAATCGGCCTCCCCACTGCGTTGGACCCACGCAGCGCCACGTCGAAACACGAAGAAAGTCAGCGACGTGCCGGAATCTGGGTCGGACTCGAGATCGACGCCGCTGCGAGCGACTCACCGACGCTGACGATCGGATGCCGGTAGGGCATGAGGCCGATGCTGTAGTTGAACACGCCTCGGCCGTGGAAGATGGGCAGGGTGAAGCCAAACAGGCTCTGGAAGCGCTTCTGGATCGCATAGACCTTGGTGCCCTCCTCGTTGGACAGCTGCTCGTAGACGTCGTTCTCGCCAAACGAAAAGACGGGGACCAGATCCGCACTGCGAGGCACGGAGGGTGAAGGAAAGGGGGCGGGAGCGTCAGCTAGGCTCCGACCAGTGGGAAGCCTCGGACAGCCCCTCATGCCGTGCGACACCGTCTCCCGATGGACACTCACCCGTTGCGAATGGCAATCTTGATGAAGCCGAGGCGGCGCTTGAGCGTGAGGTCGGCGGTGCCCGGCCGCGCATTGAGGCTCTCTGAGGCGCCGCCGACGACAATGGCGATGGCATTGCCCTTGCCCTTGCGCAGGATCGACTCGCAGCTGCGGCGCGAGACGCTGCAGATGCCCATGGCCATGATGACGTCGCGGAAGATGGGGATTGTGAAGTTGGTGGCGAGCGTGAGGAGGTGCGGGGTGATGCCGGGGAAGCTGGCGGGGAACTCGGTTGCGTCCGTGGCGAGGTTGGCGACGGCGGCCACGCCGAGGATGCCGTGCGGGTGGTATCCGAAGATGTAGGGGCGATCCGGCGGCAGGTCAGTCGTCTGGCGGCGGTGGAGGCATCATCCAAGCAGAAGAGCAACGACGAGAGGGACGAGGTCAGCACGCGGCCAAGGAAGGACGACTACCGACGCCGTCTGGGGGGGCTACGCTGAGCATCGATGGGCAAGCACTGGCACCCACCTTGATCATCGAGATCGGGAAGTACTCGGCAAAGTAGCGGAAGACGGCAAGCTTGCGGACGCGCGGGAAGCGGCGGCCTCCGGACTCGGGCGCGGTGTCGATGAAGAAGATCCAGATGAGGTAGGGGATGACGATGGGCCAGAAGAGGGGCACCGAGAGTATAAGGAAGAAGAGGGCAATCGAGATGGGCAGCAGCAGCGCCCAGAAGAGGACGCCGAGGGTCTGCAAGCGCCTACTGCGCGGAACCGAGAGGGGGGCGAATCTGCGAGCGGGCGAGGTCGAGGGCGAGGTCGAGATGGGGACGTCAGCGGGGCGATGCGGGCAATGAAGCCATGAAAGGGCCTACACAGGCCGGTGAGGGTGCGACGACCTGCTGGCCACGCACCTAATCATGTTTGACTTTTTTGCGCGCTCTGCCTCTTGCTGTCGTGACCGCAGAGAGGGGTTCGGGGAGGCGTTTGCGCTTGCATCTGCACTTTGGGGTTGGTCCTGTGTGGGAGCTGATGAGGGGCCCGCCGAGTCGGTGCCAATGCCGTGGTCGCTAGGGGGTGCGGAGCGAGGAAAGATGGGATCCGAGGGAGAGGGCGGCTCTACGCGCTCGCCGGCCGTCTGGGAGGCGGGCGGGTGTTGGTCGACGTCTTGAGACGGCGTCATGGTGGCAGGCTGGCTTGGCCGAGGAGGGGAGCCTTGAGGTGGGCCTGCGAGGCGCGTGTTTGACCGAGGTGGCGGGTCGCAGAGAGGTGTGGTGGAAGAGGGGAGGGAGGGATGGAGAGAGAGAGATGGAGAGAGAGAGATGGAGAGAGAGGGAAGAGGCGAGCGAGGATACGGCAAGCACGCCAGCTGGCACACGACGATGGAGAAGAAAGAGGACGAGAGCGAGGCAGAGGATGGCCAGGGAGGGCCCTCTTTGTTTGCCGGTCGAACCCTGGCCTGCTGGCCTGGCTGCAAGCCACAGCGCAGCCAAAGCTTTGGCTGCTCGCAGTCAGGCCCACCCGAGCCAAGCTCCACATCCTAGCCTCTTTGAGCAAAGGGTGCGGCGCCTCGAAGCGCACACGACGGCAGCCCGCCTGGCTTGGCCTCGAGGCTTTCACGCTCAGACCACCTGCCTCTTTTTTCCTCTTTTTCTCTTTTTCTCCTTCTTGGCGCCCGGGCCACGGCCATGGGTCAACCGGCCCTCGTTCCACGCGAGCAGCCAGGAGGCGTGGCTCCTTCCAGCATCTTGTGCTTCCTTCTTCCTCGCCCTCGTCCTCTCGCACAGACGACGTGGATTGCAGGGATCTGTGGTGCCGCCGTGTGGTTTCCCACCGGGATGCCAGGGCCAAAGGCCGACCAAGCGGCGGGCCGCCGACTCGCGCACCGCCCCGAGCGTATCGACGCATCAAAAAGAATCCCAAGTCCCTGCCGCCATCGAGTCGCTCCTCCAACCACGGCCGACGGCTCATCGGCATCGACAACGACAACGCACGACGACATCGCGACGCAACCCAGCTCTCTCTCTTTCACACAACCTGCACCGGCACAGTGCATCGACAGCAACGAGGACCGAGGGACAACAATCTACCGTGTGTATTGAGATTTCAGACAGGACAGGCCGACAGACAGACAGACAGACAAAGGGCAAAGAAGGCGACGGGGTCAACGGACACATAACCGGACGCGGGAGGGACAGACCAAGACCGGGAACAGAGCCGAGGCGAGGCGAGGCCGAGGGGGAGAGCGACAAGACCTTGTCTCCAGGCGAGCGAGAGCGCGGGCGGAAAACCATTTCATCCATCTATCGAGACGAGACGCTAAGGCGATTGCGACGTGGATCCGGGAAGATCGCGGCCGCGAGGCAGGGGCGGGCGGGCAGGTGCGGGCCGTTTCCCACCCCTCACTCAGAGCTCGTCGGGCGACGGTGGGCGCGAGTAGGCCGACGAGTAGGGAATCGAGCCGGCCTCGGAGCGGTTGTCCTCGGTGAGGTGCTCGTCAAAGTAGTGCGCCGCCGTCGACTTGGGCGTGCGCGGCGTGTGCGCCAGCCCGTAGCTCGCCCCCGTCGAAAAGATTGTGTAGGCGATCAGGCCCGTCCAGCCGCACTGGTGGCTCGCGCCCAGCCCCTTGCCCGTGTCGCCGTGGAAGAACTCGTAGAAGTGCACCAGGTCGCGGAACTCGGGCTCGTAGTCGAGCATCGGCACGCCGCCGTTGGTCGCGCGCCGACCAGACTCATCGCGCGTAAAGATGCGCAGCAGCCGGTGCGACAGCTCCTCGGCAACGTGGCCCAGGTGCATAAAGTCGCCGCTGCCCGTCGGGCACTCGATCTTGAAGCTCTCGCCATAGTACTGGTAGAAGCGCTGCAGGCTCTCGATCAGCAGGAAGTTGACGGCGATCCAGATGGGCCCGCGCCAGTTCGAGTTGCCGCCAAACATGGGGCTGTGGCTGTCGCCAGGCCAGTAGCCCACGCCAAAGTCCTCGCCGCCGACGTTGACGTGGAAGGGGTTCTTCTGGTGGTCCTTGCTGAGCGAGCGGACGCCGTACTCGCTGAGGAACTCGGTCTCGTCGAGCATCCGCTTGAGGATCAGCTCCAGCCTCTCGCGGCTCACCATCGACAGCAGCCGGCGGTCGGCACGGCCGGCCACCTTCATGTTGGCAATGTTGCGCTCGGCCATCTCGGGCCGGTTGTCGAGGAACCACTGCATCCGCTTGGCAAAGCTCGGGAAGCGCTTGAGCGCCGACGGCTCGATCGTCAGCGTCGCGTACAGCGGGATCAGGCCTACCAGACTCTTGACCGGGATCACCTGGCTGTTGCCCGGGCCCCACTCGATGGCGTCGTAGTAGAAGCCGTCCTTGTCGCTCCACAGGCTCAGGCCCTCGTCGTCGCCCGCGTTCTTGTAGGTCATGGCGTCCGAGATGAAGATAAAGTGCTCAAAGAACTTGGACGCGATGTCCTCGTACGTCGGGTTGTGCTTGGCCAGCTCGAGCGCCATGTTGAGCATGTTGAGCGCGTAGAAGGCCATCCAGGCGGTGCCGTCGGCCTGGCGCAGCACGCCGCCGGTGGGCAGCGGCTCGGAGCGGTTAAAGGGGCCGATGTTGTCGAGGCCGAGGAAGCCGCCCTCGAAGACGTTGGCGCCGCCCGAATCCTTGCGGTTGACCCACCAGGTAAAGTTGATGAGCAGCTTCTGGAAGACGCGCTCGAGGAAGTCGAGGTCCTCGCGGCCAAACAGCTTGCGCTCAATCTTGAAGACGCGGAACGTTGCCCAGGCGTGGACCGGCGGGTTGACGTCGGAAAAGTTCCACTCGTAGGCCGGCAGCGCGCCGTCGGGCTTCATGTACCACTCGCGCGTGAAGAGGTCGAGCTGCTTCTTGGCAAACGCCGGGTCAATCATGGCCAGCGGGATGCAGTGGAAGGCCGTGTCCCACACGGCGCTGAACGGGTACTCCCACTTGTCAGGCATCGACAGGACGTCCTCCATGTGCAGGTGGCGCCAGTCGTGGTTGCGGATGTGCTTGCGCTGCGGCGGCGGCGCAGGCTGTCCCGGGTCTCCGCGCAGCCACTCGGACTGGACGAACATGTAAAACTGCTTGTTCCACATCATGCCGGCGAGGGCCTGCCTCATGATGTTCTTCATGTCGTCGGGCATGGGGCCGATGACGAGCTTGCTGTAGAACTCGTCGGCCTCGGAGCGGCGCGACTCGACGACGCCGTCAAACTGCTCGTCGTCGTCGACCGTCGGGTCCTCCTGTGGGGTGCGGGGCGTCAGCTTCATGCGCACCACGGCGCAGCCGCCGTTGGGCGGCACCTGGCGGAAGACGTAGTGGGCGCCCGCCTTGGTTCCTTCCTTGGCCGGGTTGACGTAGTCGCGGGTGGGCGGCGCGTCCTCGGGGATCTCCCAGTACTCCTGCTCCTCGTCGACGTGCTCCTCGACCTCCTCCTCGTCGTACTGCTGCTCCTGCTCCTCGCCGTCGGCGCCGTCCCCATCGGTCGAGCCGGCTGCGACCGACCTCGGCGTGCGCACGGTGCGCGTGACGGTGCGCTGGACGGTGCGCGTCTTGCGCACGGGCTGCGGGCGGTCCTTTTCGAGGCGGTGGGCGGGCACGATGTGGTCGTGGAAGGCGTCCTTGGCGTAGACGTTCTTGTTCTGGCCATTGTAGAGGCGCTCGAAGTTGGTCTCGTTCTCGGTGAAGAGGAGCTCGGGTGCCACCTCCTCGTCCGAGACGGGCTCAGGCGCCTGGCCCCTCCGCGGCGCCGGCGCGCTCGGGGCAGGGCTGGTGGAGCAGTAGAGGTGGTAGCGGCCCAGCTCCTTGTGGTCGGCCTGGATGACGTAGTCGCCCGTCTGCTTCATCTTGGGCTTCTCGGGCTCGTCCTTGGGCCAGAACCAGTAGTTGCGGAAGAACATCTGCGGGATGATGTGCAGGTCGGCCGCCTCGGGCCCGCGGTTGTAGGCGCTGATGCGGATCGAGACGGCGTTTTCCTCGTCGGCGTCCTTGGCGTACTCGACAAAGACGTCCCAGTACCGGTTGTCGTCGAAGAGGTCGGTGTCGGTGATCTCAAACTCGGCGACGTCGCGGCCGCGGTTGCGCGACTCGCGCAGCAGCTGGTCGTACGGGTAGGGGCCCTGCGGGTACTTGTAGAGCATCTTCATGTAGCTGTGGGTGGGCGTGCTGTCGAGGTACCAGTAGAGCTCCTTGACGTCCTCGCCGTGGTTGCCCTCGTTGTTGGCGAGGCCGAACAGGCGTTCCTTGAGCATGCGGTCCTTGCCGTTCCACAGCGCCAGGCTGAAGCCGAGGCGGCAGTGGTTGTCCGAGAGACCCGCCAGGCCGTCCTCGCCCCAGCGGTAGGTGCGGCTGCGCGCAATCTCGTGCGGGAAGTGCGACCAGGCGTCGCCGTTGTCGCTGTAGTCCTCGCGGACGGTGCCCCACTGGCGCTCGCTGAGGTAGGGACCCCAGCGCTTCCAGTGGCGCTCCTTGTTGGCGTCCTCCTGCAGGCGCGTCTCCTCGACCGAAGCCATGCCGTTGGTGCCGTTGGCGGCGCGCGAGTCGGCCGCCTGGTTGAGCGCATGCGTGGGACCACGGTTGTGGCCGATGTCGTGCTCGCTGCCGTTGGCCGCGTGGCCGCCCGTGACCGACTCGCAGGCGGCCTGGCTGAACGACTTGCGGTGGTAGGTCTCCGGGCGCGCCGAGTAGTGCTTGGGGTTGGCATACTTGTAGGCATTGTCGGGGTGGTATTCGGCCTTGTGGGCCGAGGCCGACGAGCGCGAGTGGAACGAGGGCTTGGACGACGGGCTGGTGGGGACGGGCGTCTTTTCGGCGGGGTCGGCTGTCGAGTCGTTGGGTATGCGTGCGAGGGTGCCCATGTCAGCTCGACTGCCTGGCGATGGCGTCGTCGCGGCGCGTGCTCTCTCGCGCTCTCGCTCTTTCTCTACCTCTCGCTGCTTCTCAATGCGCTACTCACGCTTCCTCTCGGTTGCCTTGGCGGGCTTCTTGGGAAGCTCGACGCTCTGGGAGGCGACGCCGTCGCGGCCCGGGATGTCGATGCTGAGCGAAGTCTTGGGCTCCATGGTCTCGGTGGGTGCGGGGGCGGAGGGGGCAGCAGGTGCGGCGGGCGCGGGCGATTCCGAGGTGGGAGTCTTGTCAGCGGCGGCCTCGATGGGCTGCTTCTGCTGCTGCTGCTGCTGCTGCTGCTGCTGCTGGGCTGCGGGCGCTTGGGTGGAAGGGGTCACAGCCGGGGCTGCGGGTGCGTCGTTGGAGGACTCGGCGGTGCGCTGAGGAGCGGCGGGGGTGGGGGTGGTCCTGCCGTCGGATTCGGTGTCCTTGAGCTTGCTGGGGGAGGGGCTGCCCTTGAGGAAGGAGCGGCCGATGGAGTTTTGCGAGTCGGATCTGTGGACGTTGGAGGGAGCGTCGTCGGAGTCGGTCGACTTTTGGCGCGGGTGCGAGGAAGACTTGGTGCGGCTGGAGCCGAACACCTTTCGCAGCTGGGAAGCCATATATCAACAGGGGGCGAGTGCGACGGAAAGAAGGGGGGCCGAGCGGGGGGGGTTGGGTGCAGCGGTGGTGCTTGCAGGGGCGCGTGCGCCGGCGAGGGTAGTGGAAGCGAGGGGTGTGAAGACGAGCAGATGGGTCAAAGGAGCGGATGCGAAGCAGACGACCAGAGTGTGAAGATCGAAAGAGAAGGCAAGGGGGGAACAGGGGATGGTGGTGGTGGTGGTGGTGGTGGCGATAGGTGATGGGGAAGGCGAGGAGGCCGATGGACGACTAGGACGACGCGGAGCGAGGGTGGCCACAATTAGAAGACGGCCAGGCAGACAGGCAGACGGAGAGAAGAGAGAGGCCGGCCGTGGGATCGAGAGAGGCTACGGCTGGCGGCAGAGTTCGTCGATCTCATCATCGCGCTTCGGTGACTGCGTTTGCAGGCAGGCATGCCAGGCCAGAAGGAGAGAGGCAAGCAAGGCAGCCGGGGCTGGCTGGATGGCTGGCTGGTTGGCTGGATGGCTGGCTGGCTGGCTGGCTAGGCTGGGGACCGCCAACGAGCACGAGCCACGAGTCGAGCCCCAGGGGGAAAGGGAAGGGGCGGGGGCCCATCCAGCCCGCCTACGCTATTTTCCTTGGCTGGGGCAAGCAACTTGGCGCGCAAGAGGCGGCGAGGTGGGCCAGGGCGGGCAGGCAGGCAGGCAGGCCAGGCAGGCCAGGGTCGAGGCGAGGGCCCTGATCGTCCCGGGTCCAGCCAGGCAGGCCAACATCGCACCGACCGGCCAGCCCAGCGGTAGTGCCCCACCCACCCACCACCACGGCCAGGCCAGGCCAAGCAAGAAAGCGCACCTCGCCGTCAGACGCGCAGCAAGGATAGACAGGCAGGCAGGCAGGCAGGCCTGGCCCCCGCTACGGCGGACGAAATCTTTGGAATTTCGTTCGCCCCTTGGCCTCCCCTCGCCCTCGCCTTCGCCTTCGCCTTCGCCGCGCGTCTTTGTCGACCAGCAAGCAGCAGCAAGCAAGCCGGGTTCGACCGTCGGTCCGCCCCTCCGCGCAGGAAATACAGAGCAAGATCCACAGCCATCGCCGTTCGACGTCTGCCTCTGCCACGCCAATCGATCTGCCTGCCTCTGGCCCTACCCTCCTCTGGCAGGGCTCCGGGGAGAAGCGAGGGCAAGCCCAGCCTGCCGCTCGTCTGCTGGCAGGCGGACACGAGCAGATCCAAAATGGCCGTCCAGATTTTCCCCAGGAAGGCGCGCGAGGTACGTGTGCTGCGTGCGCTACCCCTCCTCCCGGTCCGATGCGGCATTGCCGTCAGTGTGGAGCTCCAGAGAGTCGCCGCTGCTTTGTGCCTGCTCGCTCCCTCCGAATCCCGTTCCGCATCGAGACGAGACCAGACCAAGACGAGACCAGACCGGATCAGACCAGTCCAGCTGGCCTGAGACCAACTTGCACGCCAGGCCCAATCGACCTTTGGCGGGTTCTACTGTACCTCTCGCGCCGCCTTCGACACTCGACTCCATCCACCTGCTCGCTCGCTCGCTCGTCAGCCGCCACATGCGAGCTCGACTTCTTCCTGCTGGCTTCCAAAGTTTCGCGCAGCACGCGGCTGGCAATCGGAGCGACGAGGCGGACTTTGGAAACCCAAACGTCTGCGATCCCATCACCATCGCATCGCATCGCATCGCATCGTCTCGTCTCATCAGGCGGGGGAAAACCCCCGGTCCCCGCGTCGTCACCCTGCACAAAACGTCGACGAGGGCAGGCGCCAGGCCCGGCCGGGCCAGCCTTGCCCAGCCTTATCGATGCTGCGCGGTGTCCGGCCTCTTTTGTTTGTCGCGCGCGGGGCTTGCGGTATCCTCGTGCTGCGTTGGCGGTGCGTCGTAGCCTGGGCCCTTTGTTGGAGGGTCCGCCGACACGCGGCACCGAAGCAGAGTGCGACGCCAGGGTCCACAAGGAAATCCTCCGCCGGCGACCAAGCTAGGCTTAACTAGCGGCTTGCTTCCTCCAGGGCCGCTCCCGCATCTCCTACCGCACCTGCTTGCCACCTGGGCCAGCTCTGCGGTCCAACGCCCCAAGCACACCGACACGGCGCCCGCCCGCCCGATGCCGGCGCAGTCGTCCAGCCATGCCGACGAGGACCACGCCATTGCGGACACCGCCATGGACACGGATATGACTGCGCCTACGTCGCTGCTGCGCGTCGACCCGGCGCGCGCGGTCGAGGATGTAGACGAGGAAATTTTTCTGCTCTGGACGCTCAACGCCATGCCCTCGTCGGATGCCGGGCTGGGCTACATCGATCCGAACCACGACTCGCTCTTCGTCCGAATCGGCGCCCACGGCTGGCGTTCGGCGACGCGACGCTCCCAGCTCGAACGCCCGTCCTTGAACGACGACGAGGGCGACATCGTCGAACTCAGCCAGGACGTCACCAGCCTCCGCTCCTCCAAGGGCAACACGGGCAGCGTCGTGTGGCGATCCACGCTGCACCTCGCCCTCGCCATCCGACAGGGAAGGCTCTTCCACCTCGACCGCCTCCGCCACGCCACCGTCCTCGAGCTCGGATCGGGGACGGGCGCGCTGGCCGCCATGCTGGCGTCCAGAGTCCACAAGTGGGTCGCAACGGATCAGGACGAACTCGTACCCCTGATCCGCCGCAACTTGGGCCGCACCACCGCCGCCGCCAATGCAGAGGCGTGCGCGCTGGACTGGTTCGACTTCCTCCGTCCTCCCAGCACCGCCTTTCGAGATCGCAACCTCGAGCGCATCCTCTCTCGCTTCGACCAGCCCAACGCCGACGGCGGCGGCGGCGGTGGGGGCGAGCGATACCCTGATTTGATCCTCTGCGCCGACTGCGTCTACAACCCGTCCCTCTTTGACGCCCTCACCGCCACCCTCGCCGCCCTGACGCGACCGCGCCACACGGTCGTCGTCGTCGTGGCCGAAATGCGGACCGACGAGGGCATCTCGGACTTTCTCCACGCCTGGCGAGCCAGCCTGCCCGATGGCGGCTGGCGCATCCTCTCGCTCGAGGACCGCCTTGCAAAGGGCTTTGTCGTCTTTGCCGCCTGGAGGTCCTGATACTACCGCACATCGCGAGACATGCCGGGCGGACACGACATCGCACCTCCATCCGCTGCGGGGGGGAAACTAAGCGGGAATGCGCAGTGGCAGCAAGAAAGCGAGTCGGATTGTCCAGGAGAATGTGTGGCGGCAGCTAGCGATGCGGCCCTTCGACGACGACGAGAAGCCTTTTTTTCCGTTGCAGGGACCGTGGACTCTGGCGCCCTAGCCTTGGAACGCAATTTTGGGAGGGAAAGGGGGGAACGCGGAACGGGACCGATAAGACAAGTGGGGAAAGGGGAAAGGGGGAAGGGACTGTAGATCAACAGGAAGGGACCGATAGAAAGACCGTGAAGGGGAGCCGACGACCACGGCATGGCCGAGGGCAACGGAGAGACCGAGGAGGATAGAGTGGAGCTGTAGCGTCGGGCGCTCGAGCATGCGTGTTTGTGTGTGGTGGGTGTGATGGGCGGTGGCGGTGGCGGTGACGGCGCCGTGTAATCAGACCTCGCCGTGGCCGGTGGCGTTGCCGTTGCCGTAGCGGGAGGCGCCCTGGGGCGAGCGGGCGGCCTGGGTCGACGTGGGTCGCGGCGGCGGGCTGCCGCGGAACTCTGAACCGGGAGCGCCCGGCTGCGGCGCCATGAAGCCCGGGTTAGGGTAGGCCTGGCCCATCATGCTCATCCGCGGGCTGGCCATAAAGGGGGCCATGCCGCCCATCATGGGCATGCCCATGGTCGACGCGGGGCGGCCGAGGGGCTGCCGTGGCCGAGCACCGAGCCCTCCTGGTGCGCCTGGCTCATCGCGTTCATGTAGGCCATCTGGGCCGCCTGCATCGCCTGCTGCTGCGCCATCATCGGGTCAAAGCCCATCTGGCCGCCCATGGCCGATCCGGCGTAGCCGCCCATCCCCGGCATGCCCATCCCCATCCCGGGCATCATGCCCATGCCGGGCATCATGCCGCCCATCATCATCTGCTGCATCATCATGGGGTTGTAGTAGGCCATCTGCTGCATCTGCTGCTGCTGCTGCTGGTGGCGCAGCATGTCCTCCTCGCGCTGCCGGCGCTCGGCGGCGACGCGCTCCCGCTCCCGTTCGGTGAGCGTGGCGCCGTAGCCGCCGGCCGCCTTGCGGTCCCGCTCGTGCGCCGTGATGGCGCCCAGCAGGCCAGCCTGCGGCGGAGGCGGCTTGTTGGGCACATTGACAAGGTGGTTGCCCGTCATGCGCGCGTCGGCCTCCTGCTTCTTGGCCGAGCGCTCCGCCTTGTCCTGCGCGCCCGCCTGAACCAGGCCGTGCGGCGTAAAGACGGTCGTCATGGCGCCAGGCTGCTCGTCCGGGTTGAGCTGCAGGAACGTCTGGCGGTCGCGCGCCGACAGCGTCTGCGGCGGCGTGCTCTCGCGCGAGTCGTCGCCGTGAGCCGCGCCGAGGTGGGTGCTGAAGACCGACTGCCTCTGCGCCGCCTGCAGCGCCGGGTGCGCCTGACCAGCCCGCAGCTGCGCGGCGTGGCCGGGCGACATCGACTGCGAATGGTGGGTCGGCGGCGCCTCGAAGCTGGCGGCCATGCTTGCCGGGTAACCCTGGGTCATCTGGTCGCCGTAAGCGGAGGCCGAGCCCGACGACGGCGCCGACACCTGAGGGTAGCCCGGCGTGCCGTCGCCGTCAGCCGCGCCAGTGCGGACAGACGGTGCCGCGCTGCGCTTCTGACCGGCCGCCTCCTCTTCCTCGTCCTCGTCATCCTCCTCGTCCTCGTCTTCGTCTTCGCTGCTCTCCTCGCCCCAGGCATGGGCGCCGCCGCCACGCTTCTTGGCGCCGGACCGTCCGGGCCGCGAGAGCGCCTCCTGGTGTGCCTGCGCCTGCAGCTGTGCGGCCGTCTTGCGCTCCACGGCTCGCTTGTTCTGACCAAAGGTGGAGGGGAATGCGGCGTTCTGAGGCCGCAGCGCAGACTCCGAAGGCGCCTGGGAGTCCATGGTGCTGGTGGTGACCGCAGGCTGCGCGGGGGCGTTGCGGACCTGGGGCGACGAGAGGCTCTTGGTCTTGACGACCGGCGAGGGCGGCTGCTGCAGGAACGAGTAGGCGGCGAGGGCGTCGTCGCCGATGCTGTCGTCGGCCTGCTGCTGGGCAGCGGGAGCAGCGATGTTCGAGTGGGCCGTCGATGGCGCTGCTGGCTCGCGGCCCGAAGCAGAGTAGCCACCGTAGGCAGAGGTGTTGCTCTCGGAGGGAGCAGCAGACAAGGGTGAAGCGCCTCGGCGCTGCGAGGACTGTCGCGAGGGACCATTGGTCTGGACCTGCAGGTCCTGACGCCCGTTGGCTGCGGGCTGGGCCTGAGGGACCGGCTTTGCTGCGGCAGCACTGGTGGCAGGCAGCTGGTCAGAGATAGAGGCCATGTAGAACAGCGCGCTCTCGTCGTAGGCCATGGCCGGATCCACGTCGGGTCGAGCCTCGCGAGCGGCCGACGAGGTTTGCTCGGCCCCCCTTCCAGACGGGCCCGGTACGCTTGGCTGACGGGGGTGCTGCGCCGGCGGCTGAGGCTGCGCTTGTGGCTGTGCCTCGTGCTGGAAGTTTTCGGAGGGGGCCTCTCGGACCGGAGATGTGTACTGCGTCCGGTCGAACTGGTCGTTGCGTGCCGGCTGGTTGGAGCGGAACGAGTGGGCCGAGCTGGCGACGCCCGGAGAGGTGACGGCGGGGTCGGCGTGCGAGACCTCGCTGCGCATGCTACGCTCACGCTCGCGGTTCTGGTCGTGGTAGGCGCCTTCGGTAGCGCGAGCCGTCGACTTGGGGGGGATCTCGGGCGAGCCGAGGGCGCGGTACCCGGCGGCGGGCTGGGCGCCGGGTGGGTTGAGGCTCTGAGCCGACAAAGGCGGCGGTGGCGATCGAGGGGCGGTGTTCGCCATGGAGCCCGGCGGCGGACTGGAGTGCGATGGCTGAGCGGCGTTCTGAGGCGAGGCGTAGATCACTTCGGGCTGGTTCGGCGGTACGAAGCCAGGACGGGCCTCGCGAGCGGGGCGATGGCTATCCGACATCGGCGGCGGCGAGGGTGCACGCTGTCCCGGCGCCTCGGCAAGCTCGTTGTCCCTGAAGCCAGCCGAGACGCCATTGCTGAACCCGGCCGTCGAGGGACTCTGGGTCGCGGCCGGGGCCATCTGCTCTCGCGCAGCGCCATCGTCGTTGGTGCCGCTGCCGCTGGTGTTGAAGTCAAGCGGAGGCAGCTTGCTAGCCAAGCTCGGCAGCTCAGGGGCGCGGCTGGTCTTGGCCTCGGCCGCCTGGGACTGGTCGCCGTTGGCGGCTGATGTCGAAGTCGGAGGTGGCGGCAGGGGCTGGAGCACCTTGGTCCTCTCGCCTCTCATGCGGGCGGCCATGATGCCGTGGAGGGCGGCGCGTGAGGTCAGGTGGTCTTCGCGGGCGATCTCGAGGAACTCGGCGAGCTCGCGGTCGAGGAAGAGGCGGTCCTTGAAGGGGCCGATGGGGTAGGCGAAGAAGGCCGAGACCGGGTTGCGAGCGTCCCAGACGAATCCCTCGGGTCGGCCGTAGAGCTTGAACGAGTCCATAAACGCTGCGGCGGTGGCAGCGAGGGTGTGAGAGGAGCGGAAGGGAGGGATGGGAGGGTTGAGGACGAGGACAGGGACAGGGACCCAGCACCGAGCGTCAGTCAGGGGGTTCACGCAGGCCATACAGGGCGCCAGCAGAGCATGGCACGGGCCACCGCGGTATCTGCACGGTTGGCTACAGGGTCGCCGAACCCTGCATCATTGTTGCCACGCAGCAGATGGCGCCACCCGAATGCAAACTCACCGATCACCCATTTCATCATCTCAGCGTTGGCTCCCTTGGCTCCACCGCCTTCGAGCTCTGGCATCAGCATCACCCAGCCGGTGGTGCGCACGCGGTGCGTGGCTGACAGCACCGACGTCGACGGAAAGACGCCCTCGATCTTGAACAGGCTCGATCCCTCGACCAGCTCGGGGCGCGAAGGGTAGACGGCGAACGCGTGGGCGGCGTAGATGAGCGAGGCAAACGGCTTCTTGGCCTTCTTGGACTCGAAGAAGTTGGCCACGCCGGGGGCGCCGTTGCTGCCGGGCGGCGGAGGCAGCTCACCCGGTGCCGAGGCGCCGGGCAGCGTGGCGTTGGGCGAGGCCGTCGAGACACTGCTGACGCTCATGACGCTGCTGCGGTCGCCGGCGCCGCCAAGCTTCCAGAACTTCTTCTTGCCACCGAACTCGGACTCGTCTGGCTTGTGGTCGGTCAGGACCATCCAGCACTTTCTCCACTCGGTGGAGCCCATGAAGCGCGCCTTGACCCAGCCCTCCATCTTGCCCTTGGTCAGGGGCGACTTGATCGTCATGTCGGACGCAGCGGCGCCCAGCTCCCTTTGCGGCTCGGCAGCGCCCCCGGGCGAGACGACGGCGCCGAGGCGTGCCCGGATCAGCGCCCCAGTGTAAATCTCCTCCAGCCGGACCTTTTCCCACGAGGCCAGCCGGATGGCGTTGATCCAGGCCTGGAGGTAGCGGTGGCCGAGGTTGAGCCAGCCGATGACGGCTCGGTGCTCGGGCTTCTGACGGTTCTCGGGGGCGAGCCAGTGCTCGATCGAGTCCGGCGGGAAAGGGGGCGGATCGCGGAAGCAGAACAGGGTGCGGTTGTTGCCCGCAGAGTTGAGCGCAAAGGCGTGGTGGTACTTGCCACGGCTTCCGGGGATCTGGGCGGGGTCCTCGTTCAGCAGACCGATAAAGTCGGTGAACTGTAGTGCAGGAGAGGAAGAGGCGTGCGAGGCCGGCGTGAAGGGTCGTCGGGTCAGCGCAAAGGTCCGAGTCCCCAAGAGGGCAGGCGGCAAAGGCCGGTCGGGACGATGTGAGGCGAGGCGAGGCAAGGCGAGGCGAGGCGGCAGGATAGACTCACCGAGTCTGTGATGTTGATATAGGTGGGCGGCACTTCCCTGCCCTGGCGAGCGGCCTCCTCCATGTGCTCGACGTTCCAAAGGCTGAGGACAGTGCCCGAGAGCTGGACGAAGCACTCGGACCAGCGGCGCTTGTCGTCGGCGGCGTGGAGGGGCTTGCCGTCAGTGCCGAGGTCGTCGCGTTTGAGGAGGTAGCCCTCCATGTAGAGCTTTTTCTGGTGGGCCTCCTGGAGCGAGAGGGCGCTTCGGAGGTCCTGGCTCTTGAAGGTGAGCTGCTGTGAGGCGGGCCGGATGGAGCGCGTGGTGGAGCCCTGGGGCGAGGGTGGTCGCTGCGGGCCCTGGCTGGTGGGCGAGTAGTACTCGGGGTTGTCTAGCGGCTGGAAGGCGGATATGGGCCGCATGGTCGAAGCGCGCTGCGGCGCCGACCCGTTGGGAGGGCCGTTGGAGCTGTGCGTGGGCCGACCGACGGCGGACATGGCGCTGTGAGTCGAGGGCGACTGCTGGTGGGAAGGACCAAAGGATGCGGCACGCTCGCCGGCGGCTCGCGTCGTCTGCGAGGGTCTCGGGGGGAAGTTTGAGAAGGGCTCGGTGGCGGCGAGGGGCGAGGAGTGTGCGCCGAAGCCGTCAGACGGGTGAGGCTGGCTGGAGCGCGGGAAGGGCTGGACGTCGTGCGGCTGGCCGTAGCCAGGTGAGGGCGATGGCCCGTTTCCGAAGCGGCTGGCCATGAATGAGGGTGGGGTCGTTCGGAGAGGTCGAGGGCGAGGGCGGGGGCTGTAGCTGTGGCTGTTGCGCAGCTGGCGGATGGCGGGTGGTGCGAGGGGGTTACCGGAGGTGGGGTCGGCTTGACAACGCTGGGCTGGAGGTAGACCTTGCTGCGGCGGGTGGTCGTTGGACGTCGTCTTGCTAGCTGCCGTGCTTGAGAGAGACGGGCAGACAGGGGTCGAGGGGTCGTCAAGGAGCGCGGGGCAGCGTCGAGCGACGGAATAGGACCTGTGCGGAGTTGCGGGAGGGCGGAAGGTTGGTTCGAGGATGGATGGTGAGCAGGTGGAAAGAGAGCGACGGCGAGTGTGGAAAGCCACGCGCTGTCGGTCTGGCCTGGCCTGGCCTGGCCAGGCAGGCTGCCCTACTGCTGGTCTGACCATCGTGTGTGCCTAGCCAGGCGGGACCAGGCCAGGTTGGGCGAGGCGCGGCGCGGCGCGGCGCTGTGGCTCCAGCTGCTGCGCCGGCGCCCATCGATTTCCGACGCCCAAAATTCCGACTGAAAATACCTCGCGCTCGTTGGTCAGGTCAGGTCAGGTCTCCCACCCATCGACCGTCATGGTCTCGTCTCCATAGAGTCGATCTTCCATCTCGCCCACCAGCGGGCTTGCCAGCGCCCTTTCTGGCCGTCGGCTTCGTCTGAGCCCTGGCCCATCCTCTGGGCCTGGTCTCCCGGCTGCTTGCTTGGTGCCACCTCTGCAGCGGCAAACGGCGATTCGATGCATGGCTTCGCCTAGCCCCGGCCAGATGGGGGTCGACCCTGGAACCAACGCGATGCAAACCCTGCCTGCCTGCCTGCCCGCCTGCCTGGTATTTCTTCGCGGGCCTCTGCTCGGAGCGAGCCGATGGCGAGGGGCAGACGCCGCCGCCGCTCATTCGTGGGTGCTTGCTTGCTGCTTTGCTTGGTGCTCGGATCTTCGATCGATTGACGTGCGGGCGGCGCAGGTCCAGCCTACCTTAGCCTGAGCCTTGGTCGGCGTCGTGGTGCGGAGGGGTCAGCCAGCCAGCCAGTCCGGTGGGCCCGCCCCTTTGGGTTTCACCAGCTCTTGCTGGCCGGGCCCTTGGGGGGCTGTGCGCGCTGCAACGTCACTTTGCCGCTGCCGCCGCTTGCTCTCTCCCGAATCCGACGGCAGCTCTCGGCGGCCACCGAGTCCAACCCACGCCCTGGCGGCACCGAGGCCGAGCGGGCGGCTTGAGACCCGGCAGTCGGAAGACGGGGCTCGGCGCGGCTAGGGCGAGAAGGAAAAACGTGAGCGGACCGGACTCCTCCTACCCTGCCTGGCCTCCCCCACCTTCTGCCTCCAGCCCCAACCTCATCGCATCTCGCCCTCGACTCCTAGCCTGTTCGACCGTCGCAGCACGAACATGACACAACGCAAGCCCACCAGCAAGACCGCGACCGCCGCGCGCAAGGCTCGATCTACCTCGCTGCTGGCATCCAAGTCGCCGGCGCAGCGCTCGCCCCAGGCGCAGGCGCAGGTGCACGCCAAGAAGAAGCGCAAGCACAACCAAAAGTACCTCGATCAACGCCAGAGGGAGCAGGTGGACCGCGATGCCTTGGACGTACTCAGGAACGGAGGCCGCGATCAGCCAGTAGGTGTCGATGCTCAGCAGCCGCCTCGGCTCGCTCAACGAGCCAGGATGTTATGCTGACCACCCTTCATCCTCGGCCACGCCACCACAGGACGAGCCGCAGCACAACCCGTTTGCATACACCACGTCCAGCGCAAAGGAACAGAGAAAGACGGCGCGGCAAATGAACCAGACGCTCGAGGCATTCAATCTGCTCATGAAGCAAATGTGACGCCCGACCTCGACTCTCGACCAGCATCATCGTATTGCCAACAGTTCAGCATCTCATCGTCCACAGAGACATCACGATACCCTCAATCGGCAAGGCTAGCACCCGGTCAAAATAGCATCTGGCGCCCTCGCTGCGCACCTCATCCCCCTTGCCTCCGACTGTCAGGACAGCTGTTCCTGCTCGGACGTGGTGCATGGTTCACGCGGCGACTCGGGTCCAGCGCTCGGATGCACTCCGATGGTCCGTGTGCGGCCGTTCGACGATACCCATAGGTCTGCTTTGCGAAGAAGACCATGGACTTCGCGGGACAAGTCCGCCATCTTCGGCGCTGCTGTCGCAGCCATAGCCACTCGCAATCTTTCCGCTCTACTGCCGAGCAGGAATGGGAGCTGCTGAACAAGCAAGCGCGGCTGCCCAGTCGCCATTCGTGCCGCCGTATTGCTCCGCTGCGATACCATCACCAAGATCATCACCAAGATCAATCAAGCGTGGGCACCACTCCGCAGCGCCGACGGGGGGGCCTGCGGCTGGACGGCGTCGCGAGGGAAAAGAGCTAGGCTACTACGCAGATCGACGGCTTCTCAGCTGCATTCCGTCCGCGCTCGACATCTCAATCGACCTGAACTCAGCTTCGTAGCGACATCGAAGAGCGCCCTACATCAGATGCGCCCGGCTTAGCTGGTCCCTTTGCGCGCTGGTCGCCCGACTGGCTGCTCAGATTTCCTTGTTTCAGCTGCGACGATGGAACCGTTCTTCTGGGCCCCCGTCGTCTCATCTAAGTGCTCTGCGTGTGTGTGTGTGTTTGCATGTGCCGAGTGTCCAGGCCGTACGTGCCATGGTGACGCCCAGGAAGGACCGGACGTGGCGGTCGCAGTTGGTGCTTGAGCGCGGCGGAGCTTCACACGGCCGGGAGCGGAGGCGCGCCAGTGGGTGGGTGGGCTGGGCCTGCGGATTTTTCGCAGCCGTCCATCTGTCGAGCCGGCCCTCTGGTTGTCAAAGCGGGCGGCGAGCGATTCTTCCCGACCACCAACCAACCGCCGCCCCGCCTCACCCAACCCTGCCCTGCCCTGCCCTGTCCCGTTCTGCCCTGGCCTTGCTACGACCTCCCGAACATCAGCCAGCATTCCACCACACACCCGACCTTGAACACTTCGACCGCCTTTGCAGCGGCACCGCCACCGACACAGCCGCCAGTATGGTCGTCCGCCTCCGCCTCGCACGGCACGGGACGCGGAACAACCCCTTCTACCACGTCGTGGCCATCAACGACTCGAAGCCGCGCGATGCCCGCCCCATCGAGAAGCTGGGCGAGTACGACCCCATTCCGCGGCCCGTCCCCGTCCACGTCGCCCGCGCACCGTATACGCCCGCGCCGGCCACTTCGCTCGTCGACCCGTCCTTGATCTCCACCGGCTCCGCCAGCAACAAGGGAAAGACAAAGGCGACAGAGGGCTACGGCAAGGTCATGACCTCCGGCCTCAACGTCGAGACGACGCTCCAGAAGAGGATCGAGTGGAACGAGGACCGGATCAAGTACTGGCTCGGTACGGGCGCCCAGCCCAGCAAGCCGGTGGCAAGGCTACTGCACCGCGTGAGTGCACCCGATCCCCCCATCTCTTTGCTTCATCGCGACCTGCGGAGGCATACCCCGTGGTTCCCTCCTCCGCACATGACAAGACGAGCGCTTCACTGACCGAGATAATCCCCACCACCTCATCTTCCTTTCCAACTCTGTCTCTTCGACTCTCGCTCGTTTGAACCAGGCTGGCCTCGTCCCTCCCGGCGTCTGGTACAAGGGCATGCCCCCCCTGCCCGACATCGAAGCCAACGCCGCCGCCGCCTCCACCAAACCCAACAAGCCCAGCAGCCCAAAGAGCACCACCGCCAGGAATCCCACAAAGAAGGCCAAGCCGGCCGACCCGCGAGACATTTCGGCCATCCTCAGGGCCGTTGGCGCCACCGAGTTTGCAAAGAAGGGCTCGCCCGGCGCGTCGGCGTTCAAGAAGGCCAGCACCAGAGAGGAGATCCTCAGGCCGCACCTCACCGGCGAGAGCACCATGGACCAGGCTAGCTGATGAAATCGGGCGGCTGCGCGGCGGCGTCCGCATCGCACGCGGACCGTGTCGAGGGTCGACGACGAGGTGCACCGAGACGAGTGTCCGCCCTCGCGCCCGCACTATGGATGCTCTCCGCCTCGGTCTCGGCCCCTTTTGCGAATAACGTGATCGATTGAAAGTCGAGACGAGTGAATCAGCCCGAATGGAGCGAAGAGGGGTATGCAGGGTTATTCACAGGGAGACGCCGGAACGGGGGAACCAAGAAGGGGCCATCGAAGGGTGCCCGGCAGGTGCGGGGCTTTGGGGCTGATGTACAGAGCGGGACAGATGACCAGGGAAGCGGCGCTGGAGAGCAGGCTCAGCGCACGAGGGGCGTGTGCGCGACAAGGATCAGATGGCTACCGACGATGCGAAAGCCACGGTACGACGCGGGCAGGTGGGGGGTCGGCGGGGGACCCTCCCAGCGAGCGCGACGGCACGGACCGGACACGGCCTGGTCGAGCCGCTTGAACGAACGACCGAACCGCCGATCGGCCGTGACGCTGCCGCCGTTTGGCTCAGTCGTTCTGGGTGCCGTTGAGGACGCGGAGGACCGAGATAAAGAGGTTGATGATGTCGAGGTAGAGGGAGAGGTTGGCGAGCACCCACTCCTCGGCCGAGAGGCGGCGCTGGATGAGCCAGGTGTCGTAAACGATGTAGAGCGAGAAGATGGCGCAGCCGGCGATGGCGGTGACGAGGTCAAAGGTCGAGTTGTAGGGGAAAAACATCGAGACGAAGCCGGCGCCAACGAGGACCATCAGGCCGCCAAAGAGCCATCCTCCCAGCGAGCTGAAGTCGTAGTTGGACTGCAGCGTGAAGAGGGTGAGGCCGAGGAAGGTAAAGGCCGTGATGACCATGGCCTGCAGGACAATCTTCTGGTCGACGTAGGTGATGACGGTGCCCAGCGACACGGACTCGAGCAGCGTGAAGAGGCCAAGGAGCAGGATGTTGGTCGGGTGCGAGTGGCGCTTCCAGTAGAGGACGCCCATGGTCACCAGCGATCCGATCAGGGGCACGACGAATGCCCATTGGCTAAAGGGCGGGGTAGAGTCGCGAGGGGAAGGGGGAGGCAGTCGAAGGTCAGCAGGGCAGCACACGAGACGGGACAAGGGGCAATGGGCGGCAAACGGGCTTGGGAGACTCACTTCTGCTGCACCCATCCGGCGACGCCCTTGGTGGTCATGATGGCGGCGACGACGGTGGTGCCGAGGAGCTGGAAGAAGAGGACGCTGTACACCTTGCGCAGGAACATGGCCCTGATCTCGGGCGAGCTCTGCTCGACGGTGACGCCGTACTTGAAGTCGTCCGGGTCGTTGTCGTCCTCGGAGCGGGGCTGGTCAAACAGATTGTCGGTCGACGACGAGGCGCCGGCGGCGGGGACACCGGCGGGAGGCTCGGACTGAGGGATGGCCGAGTAGCCCTTGGGCTGGTAGCCCGGAGGCGGAGCGGCGTGCGACATGGCGAAGAGGTGCTGCGAAGGTGTGGTGCGTTGGTTGTTGAGGATGCGGGAAGCGGTTGGGTTGCGAGGGGTGCCGATGATGAGCGTAGCGGCGGTACCCAGCGTTGGCAGTGGCGATGGCGGTGGCGGTGGTGGTGGTGATGGTGATGGCAGTCGAAGGTGGTGCTCGCGGGTGGCGCCGGCTGACGAACGTGGGGCAGGTGGACTTGGCCCAGGCCAGGGTGCAGCACCGCCCCGCACGCGCAAGTCGAAAAGGCTGGCAGGGCTGGCAGGCTGGCAGGCCTCGTGCGGCCTCTCTGTCGCTCAGCCAGAACCACGTCGAAGCTGCGCGCAGCCCGGCAGGCCTGCTGCTCCACATGACGATTTTTTCGAGCCGGACAGACCGGATCCGCAGCAAGGTGCGGGGCTTGACCCTAGCCTGGTGTTTCCGGTTCCGAGGTGATGCGGCTGCCCCGCCAAATAGCTGGGCACGCAAGCAACCAAGACCCTGCTGGCCTACATCGATAACCAGGCACGCCCGGGTAGGCCTGGCCATGCCAGGTCAGGGTTCCCGCTTGGCCCACCGCCACCTGGCCTGCCTGCCTGCAATTCGCCGCCGACGCTCCGTGGCTCGACGGTCCGCCTCTCCGCTGCTCCCGGTCCGATATTTGCCCAGCCTCGTTGTCGTCGTCGGTGGCACAGAGCGCTGCAAGCTGCCTGGTCCTCGCCGTCGTCGTCTGCCCCTGACATGGAGCGGTTGGCGGTAGAAGGGCGTCGTCGTGACCGAGTCGGCGTCGCGGGCGCCCCAAGCTGTTGGGACGCGCCGTCGCCTGTTGGGCTTTTTGCGCGGGAGCAGCCCGGCGACACGAGGCGAGTCGAGCCGGATCAAGTCAAGCGTGCGTTCCTGTTTGCCAGCCTGCCCGCTGTCAGATTCGCCGGTGCCATCAACCGGCACAAGGCAGGCAGGCGGACGGCGATAGGCCCTAGGGCAGGCACCCCTGCCGGCGATTGGCAGCGCACAAAGAGGCGCGCGAGGTCAAGAGCGAGCCCGACGGCGTGGTGGCGCGCCATCTCCGTCGCACGCTCCTCGTTGAGAGATTGCCGGTCATGGTCAGTGGCAACGTCCAGGCACGCCGCGCGAGGTCATGTCAGCCAACGAGACGGCCAGCTACCGGTATCGAGGTGCTGGCGATCCCCAGCCTAGCCTGAAGGGAGAAAGCCGAAGACGACTCCTCTTGCATACGGACAGCGCCGAGATGGCGAGCCAGCTGAGATCCCGTTCGTCGACGGCCGGAGCAAGGAGATCTGGCCCCAGCTTGGGAGATCTCTGCCGTCGTCTAGGTCGTCGTCGTCGCCGTCTGCTGATCTCCTTTGACGCTGGTTGGCTGGACAGGCAGGCAGAAAGGCAGGCAGGGGAAGAGGGCCAGCGCCCGTCGACGAGCGAGTCACGAAGGCGGGCCACGCTCGGTCGCCGCTGGGTGAGGAGAGGCCCTCTCTCGATCTATCTATCTGAGCCTCTCGGAAGGTCGGACCGCGGCGAGTCTCTAGCGCTGGCTGCAAACTCGACCCTGCCTGCCTGCCACGCTACGGCACAGCGGAAGATTTTCGACAGGCAGGCAGGAAGCCAGGCCAGGGTCAGCCCCTGCGCGCAGCCGGCCAGGCCAAGAAGAATCGACCGCGGCATCCAAGAAATCCAAAGGAGGGCACGAAAAAATCGATGCGCAGCGCGGTGCGGCGCAGGCAGGCGGGCAGCCACTAGGGAGGGCCCGCCCGTCATCAACATATCGTCGCCGACCCTGTCTCTGTCTCTCTTCTGCCTGGCTGGCTGTCTCGACGGGCAAAAAGCAGCCACCTCTCTGCTCGACCAACACCCCCCGGCGGCGCCTCTCTCGAGCTCCAATTAGCGACCTCATCTCCTTCGTCTCCCTCTACACCCAATCCGCCGTCTCCGCCCTCCAGCACCGGCTCTCGACGCTCGTCGAGCAGCACGACACCACCGATACCACCACCACTCTTGCCTGCTTGCTGATCACACAATGTTCTCGCCCGCCATTCGAGGTGAGAAGCGCGCATCGGGTGTGACGGCCGGCTGCGAGAACACTGCGCTGACGGATTGATCCCCTCCCTGCTTGCGTTGTCAACCCGGCAGCCACGTCGCTGCGCTCGGCGCAGAACCTGTCTGCCCGCAACTCGGTCGGCGTTGCCGCCGCCAGCGGCAGCGGAAGCAGCAGCTCTCTGCTGCGCAACAGCATCGTCAACTCGCACACCGCGTCTCCGATCCAGACGAGATCAATCTTTGGGTCAAGGAGTCGGAGGAACGACAAGCTCGTCGTCCCAGAGACGCCCAAGACCGTCGTCGTCGAGACGCCCCAGGCCTACGGCAACGGCAACGGAAACGGCAAGAAGCGCGGCTTCTTTGGCAAGCTGAAGACGACATTCTATGTCGTTTCCCTGGCCGGTGTCGCCTCCTACGCATACTGTGAGTAGAGGGGAGGACGAGAGGGGCCGAGGGGATGCGCTCCGTCCTGGCGCCTGACAGCCCGACGGACCCGTTGTGCTGACTCGCATCGCCTGCGTGCTTGCTGTGCGTCCCTTCCTCTTCCGGCAGTCGTCTGGGCTGGCCGCAACCCGCCCCAGCAGGAGCCGCAGGACCCCTCGAAGAAGACGATCGTTGTCCTCGGCAGCGGCTGGGCCGCCACGTCGCTGCTCAAGAGCATCGACACGTCCGAGTACAACGTCGTCGTCATCTCGCCCCACAACTACTTCCTCTTCACGCCGCTGCTGCCCTCGGTCACCGTCGGCACGCTCGACGGCCGCAGCATCGTCCAGCCGACGCGGCACACGACGCGGTTCAAGGCGCGCGAGGTCAAGGTGTACGAGGCCGAGGCCGAGTACGTCGACCCCGTCAACAAGACGGTGACGTTCAGCGACAAGAGCGAGATCCAGGGCGCTAGCCGCAAGGTGACGATCCCCTACGACTACCTCGTCTACACGGTCGGCACCGAGAACCAGACGTTTGGCATTGAGGGCGTCAAGAAGCACGCGTGCTTCCTCAAGGAGCTCAACGACGCCGAAAAGATCCGCGCGCGGCTGATTGACTGCGTCGAGACGGCGGCGCTCAAGGACCAGCCCGAGGAGGAGATCGACCGGCTGCTGCACATGGTCGTCGTCGGCGGCGGCCCGACGGGCATCGAGTACGCGGCCGAGCTGCGCGACTTTGTCGAGTCGGACCTGATCCGCTGGTACCCCGAGGTGGCCGACAAGCTGCGCGTCACGCTCATCGAGGCGCTGCCCAACATCCTGCCCATGTTCTCGCAGACGCTGATCAAGTACACCGAGTCCACCTTCAAGGAGAACTCGATCGACATCCTGACCAAGCACATGGTCAAGGACGTCGACGACACCCACGTGCTCGTCAAGACGCCGTCGGGCGAGGACAAGAAGATCCCCTACGGCCTGCTGGTGTGGGCGGCCGGCAACACGGCGCGGCCGCTGACGCGCCAGCTGATGGCGGCGCTGCCCGAGGCGCAGAAGAACCGTCGCGGCCTCGAGGTCGACGACCACATGCGCCTCAAGGGCGCCGAAAACTCGATCTTTGCGCTGGGCGACGCGACGGCGACCCAGTTTGCGCCGACGGCGCAGGCGGCGTCGCAGCAGGGCGCCTACCTCGGCCGCGTCTTTAACCAGCTGGCGCGCCTCGACGTGCTCGAGACCAAGCTCGAGGCGGCCAAGCGCGACGGCGCGTCGGAATCCGAGATCCGCGGCATCGAGAGGCAGGTCGAAAAGGCGGCCAAGGTGCGGCCTTTCAAGTACTCGCACCAGGGCTCGCTCGCCTACATTGGATCCGAGAAGGCCATCGCCGACATCCCCTTGCTCGGCGAAAACTCGATCGCGTCGGGCGGCGTGGTGACGTTCATGTTCTGGAGGTCGGCCTACGTCTCGATGCTCTTCTCGCTGCGCAACCGCTCGCTCGTCGCCACCGACTGGCTCAAGGTGTCGCTCTTCGGCCGCGACGTGTCGAGGGAGTAGATCGAGGCTGGCGGCGGCACCACCTCCCCGCCCCTTGTTGCCTCCGACGACGGCTCCTCCCTCTACAGCATTCGCAAACAAAAGGTGGCGTAGAGTCAGAACGGGGCGGCGCTACGAGCCGCCCGCGGATCTTCACGACAAGCTGCTCCAATTCTGAGACTTTATGGAACCGGCCCCGATGATCTCGGTCTACCTGTGCCTCTGCCTCCGTCTCTTTTCCCCTCTGCCTCTTTGCCTCTCTCCCTCTCTCTGCTCTCTCTGTCTCGCCCCTGTTGGGCGACTGCTGGCCATCTGATAATCTCAAACGCAACATCATAGACAATCGACCTCTGTTGGGCGCACAAGGCGATCTGCGGCCTGCGGTGACCTTCGCACTTTGCCCTTTGCACCTTCCGCCGGGACCGTGACCCGCGGATGCAGCTCGTCGACTGCTGCACCGGGACGTGCTCCGCTGCTGCTGCGTTGCGCCGGGCCGTGCGACGGGAAGCGGAGCGTGGAGAAAGCATCGGGGCTGAGTCGGGCGCGCGGGGAGCGGGAGAGCGGAGAGCGGAGAGCGGGACCGGGGCTCGACGGGTAGGAAGGCGGCGGGGGCGGCGGTCTCCGTCATATCCCGACGGCACCGAGGTGGACCGATCCGAGTGCGGGGCCAGGTGGGGAAGCTCGGGACCGGAAGCGACGAACGGTGCGGTGCGGCGTTCTCAAGCAAGGGCCTGCGTGCCACTATTGTACCACTGTGCCACTGCTTGCCGGCTTTAGTCTGCGCCTCCTCGCACACGGCCCGTGGTAGCCTGGTGAGGCGGAGGGAGGGCTGTACTGTGACGGTGTGACATGGCCCACGTTTCGTGGCGTCGCAGCCTGACCAGCAAGTGGCGTGGTGTGGCGTGGCGCATGGTCCAAGGTGGCAGCACGGTTTCAAGAGCCTGCGCCACGGTACCGTACATGCCCTGCCAGGCGAAGCTGTACCGAGCCACAGTGAGGGCAAACCGGCATAAAGGAGCAGCAGGTCAGGCAAGGGGGGTTTGGGGTACACCACACTCGTCAGCGGCGTGCTGTTGTCGTTGTCGTTGTCGTTGTGGCTCGTCTGTCAGGGATGCGGCTATGGTGATTGCCACACGGACGGACGGGACGGGACGGGACGGGGTGGCAGGCACGCAGGCAGGCCGGTCGCCCGCCCGTTGGCACGCCTGCTCAGCACGGGACCAGATACAGTAGATGCAAGGAGCCCCGGCCTGCCTGGCTGTATCGTCGTCGTCGTCGTCGTCGGTTCCCCTGCCTCCTCTTCGGTGTGGTCTTAGCGCTGATCCTGGTCCGCAGATTGCCTCCGCTTCGGACCGCACGTACGGGGTACGTGGATGCGCCTGCAACCATGTCTCACATGCTTCCATCGTTGCCCTACATGCCCGTCCAGCTGCCCGCGCGCCCGCCCGTTCCCGCCGTTGTCCAAGGGCGACTCAGTACTCTGACAACCCGGCCAATTCCCCTTTGACCGTCTGTTCGGTCGTCGACGCCATCGTTGTGCTCGCCACCACTGCTAGCCACGACGGACCGGCCACGATGAGCACCGCGTTTCGCCATGTCGCGCCCGTCGTCATGGTCATCGTTCGAGACGAGAACAAAGTTCATGCCGACAGCAAGGTCTTCCTCGGTGGGGAGCCAGTCGAACGAACGGCCGGAGGATCCTTCCGGAACTTACCCCTGCCACCCACTCGGCGCCTCGAGGGATGACCCAATCCGCATTGACTAGCCTCGTCTCCTTCATGGCGTGTAACTACCAGAACGTAACGGGCATCGCAGCATGTGAGCATGCTCGTCGGCGCAACGATACGGCACGATGCGAAAGACCACGACCCAGGACGCCTGCCGACCCTTCCCACACGACGATGACCAAGGTAGGTTGGGAAATTGACCGATGGCCGATCGACCCTCGGCGGGTAGGCGCTCACGGTGCTCTGCTTCGTGACAACCAAGATCCCAGCGAGGGCGCAGCGAGATGGCCACGCCTTGCCACGCCTCGTCTCGCCATGCGAACGATCAGACTCCGGACGAATGCGGTACTGTACCATGCCAAGGATGGCAGAAGCTCAAAGGGCGCGCGAGGGCGTTTCTCTCACGCGCAAAGATGGCGGCAAGCCACGCAAACCTTGTTTCCCGCTTCACCAGGCAGGCGCCCTAGGCGGCGGCGGCGGCGGCGGCGGCGACGACGGCGAAGGGCGCGAGCTGGATCCAGCGGAAGACAGCTTTAGCCGTCGACGCCACGACCCGCCAGGGCCACGGCCGCGTCTACCGGCCGGCGCGGGTCGGACTGGACCTTCGTCATCACGTCTTCGTAACGAAGCCCACGTACGAACGACTGGGTCAAGCTCTTGCTCTTTCGGGAAGGGGCGTGCACGCAGCAGCGTCGATCCGGATCGGCAAGAGCGACGACGGTCGGGCAGCGCATCCCAACGCATCGCAGCGCATCGTAGCGTCGTTGTCACGCTCCACCCTCAAGCCCCAGCGTACGTGGTTGTCATGCCAGGCGCAGTGTGTTACACGACCAAGCCCGGCTGCGAGGGAAAGGTCGGTGCTGCTCGCTCGCTGGCTCTCGATCCGCCGTTCATCCGTCACCTTCCCACATCTCTCATCACATGGGTTCGAGGTCCGTGGAGAGGCCTCAAGAGGCAGCAGGTATGTATGGCGGCCCGACGACAAACGCATGCGGCACAGACAGGGCGCCCGACATGCGGTGACGAGCGTGGGTACATCTCAAAGGCAAGCCGCAGCTCGGCCAAGATCATCCGCCCGGAAGGCACCGACCGGGGATCGTCGTTCCGTCGATCCGTCGTCGGCGGCGTGGGTTGCCATCAGACCCACTTCTCGCCCCCTCTCCTTCTCCTTGACACCCGGTCCCACAGCGTCGGAAACGTCTTCACGACGAAGGCGGATTCCACACTCCGCCCACCGCTCTCCGAACCGACGACCCGCTTGCCCCTGCCCCATGCCCCCTGCCCAATGAATCTAGGTTGTTGGGCGTCGACGGGAACGTCATCGAGTTCCTGCTTTTCCCACGTCGTCGTCACCACTCGTGTGAAGGAGCACACGACAGACGGTACCTGCGTGGTACAATGGCAAATATAATGTAACGCAGTGCAGCACAGCAGGCGGACAGGCCGGTCATGGACTGCCTCGGAGGCCAAGAAACTCATATGGCCAGAGAGTGACGGCTGACACGGCCTAGCCTGGACTTTGTCAAGCAGGCTAGAGGGCGCACGTTTGACGCGCCTTTCCTTGGACGACGACTCCCGGACGAACATCGATGTTTCTGTGCCTTGCTTTGATCCTCGTCTCGGCAACAGACTGAGCCTGGCCGTGACACCTCTGTGGCCTGTACGTCGCCCTCTATCTGCGTAAGTACGACGGGTACGGTAGCGCACCGCCGGTCAATCCACCGACAGCGCCTCCGCTCATGGAGAGGGGATGGGGCCGAGGACGACGGTCGGTTATGTACCTACCGCAGCACGCAGCATGGACAATCCTCTGCTGTCGGTACCGAGCCGGCCGATGGATCTACTGCAGGGGTTCCCAGCGCTAGAGCTCAGGGAGCAGGCTACTGTATGTAGGTCGACAAGTCAGTCGACCGCCTCGAGTGCCGGTTCCTACATGAGTCCGTGGTAAAAGCGAGCAGACGCACGCACACGCACTGTACAGTGGGCAATGCACGCCCGCCCACTGGCCGACCTGCCGCCCGTCTGCGTGCTTTGTTCTTTGGTCTCTCTCTGCCTTGCCTTGCTTCTGCCGTCCCCCGCCGCGAGGACGTCGAGATGCACCTGCCTCTGACTATGCAAGCAAGTTGGTGCTGTGCGACAGACATACAGATCAGACTAGGGTTAGCGACGAACGACGCTGGCAGCTGTCTGCGACGTGTCGGCGGAAGTGTCCCGCGGGCGGGCGTCACGGCAGCTGGAGTACGGGCTGCGACCGGTCGATCAGCGAATGGCCTGGTCGTGTCGCAGACTTGGGAGCCAACGTGCGAAAAAAAGAGGCAGGCTCCAGTGTGGGTAGGCACGATGCGCCGCATTCGTCTTTGCCAGGTTCCATCGACTGTGCCGCGTGTCGATAGAGGGAAGGAAGCGGCTTCGGCGGCGTTTGGAGGGCCAGACGAGCCACCAGCTGTGTCTGTGCCTAGGTGCGCGAGGCGAAGGCCCCCAGGGTTTCCCGCGGGTTCTCGGAGCGACCTTTTGCTCGGCGAGAGGACGAAGGGCGAGGCTGCGCGTCGGACGTGGGTGGCAAAGGCCCGCGTCGACCCGCCCGCTCGCCCGCGTCTGGTCCTCGGACTTGGGACAGCGTGTGGTGGCGATGGCCTGGCCAACGGAAGACAGAGTGGCGTGGCGTGGCGTGGCGTGGCGCGGCAGGGAACGACGCGGCGTGCCTGGAAGGAAGGACGCGGTAGGTTGCTTTGGTGGTTTGCCGCAAAGGTGCCGGCGCTGCCCTTTTCCCAGGCCTCTCAAAGCCCGATGCAGGACCGAGCGCGGCGAAACCAAACACATCGAGCAAGCTGCGCGCGCGTTTGCCATGGCAGGCCCGGCCTGAAGAGGAGATGGCGCGGTTGGGCGGTCTGGCTCGCCACACCACAGTTTTTCCCCTGGCCTCTTCTGTGACGGTGCGATGCCAGGCTCGCCTCGCGAGGAGGATTACGCACGGCAGTTTTCCAGGCGGGCTGAAGGTGGGCCTTGAGGCGTGGTCGGTTGTGCCGCGCCCAAGAAGAGAGGCCAGGTACACACGGTAGGCAGGGCCTGGCAGCGCAGCCAACCTGCCTGATGTCGGCTCGCCGAGGGGAGCATCCAACCGAGTGCCGCCAAAACGCGCGGGCGCAGGTCGCAGGTCGCAGCAGCGCAGAGGTTGAAGGCAGGCTGGCCTGGCCTGTCGCCCACACGCCGACACGCGGAGCCAGTCGAGCAGGCAGGGCCCGCCTCTCGTGCCCTCTTGCCCTTCTGCCCCTGCTGGTGCCACATCTCATCTCATCTCAACCACCAACTGAGCTCCCGCTCCCAACCCATCATGCCATCTCGGCCTCTGGGCGTGCGGGCTTTTGTTTGTGCCCGCCTGGCCGTTCCCACCCGAAGCCTCTTTGGCCCGTTGGTGGCTTGGCCAAGGCATCGTCCCAGGTTAATGCCGCACGCAGGGCGCACGCCTGCTGGCCCGCCCGCTCGCTCCTCGGTCGTCGTTGTCGTCGCCGTCGCCGTCGTCGTCGTCGCCGCCGCTCTCGGTCGC